CTAGATCCTCCTTCTTACCATCAAATCACGAAAGTTGTTCGTCGAATGAAGTCGTCTGGTTCGCCTTGTCCGCTTGACAAGCTATCAATAATACCTTTTAAAAGATGTCCATACCTCCGTACATACATGACTGAGCTAATTCGAATAATTTGGAGTTCGGGTGATATACCTGAGGAGTGGAAACTGGCCTGCACAGTGCTAATCCATAAACGGGGCGATGCATCTAATCCTGAAAACTTCCGCCCTATCACCCTTGAAACCATTCCACTGAAAATATTCACATCTTGCCTACGCGATTCGATGTTTGCATTTCTCTCCGCAAACATGTACATTGAACACAGAATTCAAAAAGGGTTTCTTCCAAGATTGTCTGGAACATTCGAACATACTGCACACATGGCTTCTATCATTAATAAAGCTCGAATCAAACAGCGAGCTGTCGTCATCACATTACTAGACCTAAAGAATGCTTTCGGTGAAGTCCATCACAATCTGATCCCAGCAGTTCTTCGCTATCACCACATCCCTGAGCACATTCAAAACATTATCTGCAGCCTTTACGCTAATTTTAAAACATCTATCATAACCGATACATTTCGTACCCCTTTTATACCGGTAGGCCGCGGTGTCCTTCAGGGTGATTGCCTTAGCCCATTAACCTTCAACCTTTGCTTTAATACTTTCATTCATTACATCTCAGATAATAAATTCAACCAGTTCGGCTTCTATACAAACTCCTTAAACCCTGTCCATTGGTTTCAGTTCGCTGACGATGCGGCAGTGGTTACTGGTCAAGAAAACGAAAATCAAATTCTCTTAAACCACTTCTCTAGATGGTGCTCTTGGGCAAACATGCATATTCGGGTTGACAAGTGCTCAACATTTGGAATTAAAAAATCATCTACTTCATCTGTTCAGTTTCTACCCAAACTTATTGTCAATAAAAACATAGTTCCCACTGTTGAAAAAGACAAATCTTTTAAATATCTTGGTAGATACTTCAACTTTTCTATGGATAATAGTGATCATATGTCAGAACTATTGGAAACTGTCAACTCGTTAATGTCGAGTATCGACAAATTGTCGTGTCATCCAAAGAACAAAATTCTGTTATACCACCGATATGTGCTATCCAAAATTTCCTGGAACCTGACCATCGCTGATTTAAGCAAGACATGGGTGACAGAGAATCTAGACAATGTTGTTTCAAGCTTTGTTAGACAATGGCTAGAGCTGCCAATAAGTGCTTCACTAAGTAGCCTCGTCATTCCAAAATCGAAGTTTGGCATCAATCTCATTCTTCCATCTACCAAGTTCTTACAATGCCAAACAGTTATCCGCAACTCTTTAAGACTGTCCCCAAACCAAGAGATTCGCTCTTTATGGAAAGACTCTAGCACTGGTACAAACATACAATATGACGTTTATCGCAACACCAAACAAGTTCTCAAATCCATCCAAAGTGAACACGAAAACCGCATTGAAAACGTTCTTACATCTCAAGGATTTATTATCTCGTGCATCTTAAAATTTGCTTCTAAGGGAACTAATCAACTTTGGTCTAGTGTCCAGCAAAAGTTACCAAAAAACATTTACAACTTTACCATCAAATACCTAAACAACACTCTTGCCACTAGAAAAAACCTCTGCAAATGGTCAATTACTCAGTCATCTGCCTGCTCTTTCTGTCTCCAATCAGAATCATTACAGCACATAGTCTCTAGCTGCAAGAATTATCTTGAACATGGTAGGTATACCTGGAGACATGATTCTGTACTTCTATATTTGGCTAAAATCCTTTCAACACCTAGAAACAGCTCACTTTACGCCGACCTGCCTTCATTTCTATCACCTTCTTTAATCACAGGCGACTCCTATCGACCAGATCTTGTCTTCGTAACTGAAGATCGAATCCTTTACATGCTAGAGCTTACTGTTGGGTTCGAAAGCAACATCGAAGAAAACAGTACACGAAAAGCTAGGAAATATAGCGACCTTATCAAGGAACTGAGCCCTGCCTATAAACGTGTTACCTTTGTTAACCTTTCTATGAGTGCCCTTGGCATTCTGGGAACCTCATCTACCTCTCTCTCTGACATGCTACACCAACTTAATTTTGACTCAAATCAAACTAAATCCATCTTGATGAAACTTATGAACATTTCTATCCGCTGCACCTACTATATCTTCTATCGTCGAAACAAACCATGGCTAAGCCCCGAAATAATTGACTTTTAAATATTGTAATGCAGATAAGCCAATTATATGATGCCTGTAAAAGCGAGTCGTATAATTGTAAATTTAAAATGTATTCAATGAAAATGAGATGTTTAAAAAAAAAATGATCCTTCACGTTGTTGCTGGCTGCAAATCATACCTGGAACAAGGCCGATACACCTGGCGTCATAACTCTATCTTAAACTTTCTAGCTACGTCTCTTAAAGTTGTTAATGAATCTACCATCTACGCTGATATACCTGGCTCTCTTTCACCATGAATCATAACTGGAGAAAACCTTCGCCCAGATCTTCTCTTGAGGACTAACAACAATTACCTGTACATATTAGAGTTTACTGTTGGTTTTGAATCCAATCTTGACACAAATGCAACAAGAAAACACAGCAAGTATGCTCCTCTCCTATCTGACTTACAGCGAAAGTTCAAATGTGTCTCTTTTGTGAATGTTTCTATGAGCTCTCTTGGCATCTTTGGCAATTCCTGCATCTCTTTCTTCAAAATGTGTGACTCTCTCTCCATCGATCAACAACAAAAACGGTACCTCATTTCTAAACTTTCCAACATTGCCATTCGTACTACGTACTACATATTTTGTTGCAAAAATAAACCATGGACAAATCCGGAATTACATCCGTTTTAATTTTGGTTGTTTTATTTTTCTCAGTTTTTCCCTTTACCTTACGATTGTTATAGTTTTTTCTTGTAAAACCAGGCTAGCCAATTGCAAATTACCTTGTAATAGTGAGATTTGTAATTGTAGTTTAAGTTGAATTGAAAATGAAATGTTTCCATTATTATTATTATTATTGTTTATTATTATTATTTTTATTGTTGTTTTATTTTATTTTTCTCAGTTTTTCCCTTTACCTTACGATTGTTATAGTTTTTTCTTGTAAAACCAGGCTAGCCAATTGCAAATTACCTTGTAATAGTGAGATTTGTAATTGTAGTTTAAGTTGAATTGAAAATGAAATGTTTCCATTATCATGATCATAATGATCATGATGATCATGATGATAACGTTATATCTTCTTATCATCGAATGTCTTTCTTTACATATAAATTTCCCAAGAGACGTTTGTTTAATTTGACTTTCTTGACTTTTTTACTTATGCATCGAAGTAAAAATATCTTAGAACTGCCAAATTTTGTTTATAAGTGGACAAAAAGTTTTTAGAACTGCACATTTTGTGTAGAATTGTACGTGGGATAATAATATATTTTAATGCCGCGATATTGTGTGGTGTAAAGACTTAGGCAGGTATTGGTTTAACTGTTTAGCTTTAGGTCAAGAATGATACAAAGTTGTTTAAGATCGCCTTTTATAACCATTTTACAGCTTCTAGACGAGGGTGTTGTATGGAAAAGATACGCTTGTTCTTCTTGTAGTAGACAGTGTTTTCCCGGATGATACATGCTGGCGTACCTTCACTGTATAGAAAAGGCGATAACACTAAAAAGCAAAATTATAGACCAATAAGCCTACTTTCAGATATTTCGAAGGTATTTGAATGCATTATTTACAATCAGTTTATCGATTATTTTGATCCGTTTTATCTCCACTTTTAGTGGTTTTCGAATAGGGAATAACACGCAGTACCTTCTGTTAAATTTTCTCCAGACATGTAAAGCATATCATGACAGAAAGGAACTAGCTGGAGCAATCCTGATGGACTTTTCTAAAGTGTTCGATTGCATAAATCACGATCTATTGATCGCAAAATTGGCTGCGTATGACTCGGATGCTCTTAAGCTCGCCAAAAGCTATTTATCAGGCAGAATACAAAGAGTCAAAATAAAGGGTTCATACAGTAGTTGGAGGGATATAAAAAAAGGGGGTACCGCAAGGAGCAGTTCTAGGGCCGTTTCTATTCAATGTTTCATCAACGATATTTCTCTCTTTTTAAAAATACCACATAATAGAGGATTTCAGAGAATTACATGAAACTTAACTAGGATAAATACAAACTTCTTATTTTTGGTAGCAAATGCAAGGACTCAGTAGTTACCAATGGTATTTCCACAATTAAAGAAAGTGATTACAAAAAACTTTTGAAAGTCGCCTTTGATACAAGATTAAGTTTCACAAAACATGTCGAAACTTAGACTTACGCAAAAAGACAAACCAAAAATTGCAAGCTCTTGCCAGATTCTCTACAGACCCTGTCAAACTAATACTGCTAATTACTACAGACCCTTTCCACTTGTAGGGATGTTTCATAACAGAATGAGCAATTCCTAGTTAAATAAGATGGAGGAGCATCGTGAATTGTATGCAAGGATAGTGAAGACGACTTTTGTTAGTAGTTAAAATAAATCCCTGACGACGCATCAACGGAATCTGCAGTTGCTCATGATAGATATTTTCAAAACCAAGAACAACTTCAACCCAAATTTTATGAAAAATATTTTTGCAGAAAAAATAGCTATTAACGTTTGCGCAATCCAAATAATTTGCAACTGCCCAAAGTAAGGACAACAATATATGCTAGAGAAAATATTCAGTATTTTCTTTATTTGACTTTATTTCGTCAATTTTCCAATGTAAATTATTTTTCTATTTTAGTTTAGTTGGCCTTACTTAGCTTTTTATAGCTATTCCAATTAAATAAAGTCAACTATAAATGAATAAATTAATAATAATAATGACGATAATAATACTTGTCTAATCTTACTTGGTGTTTTTAACCTTGATCGCATTTTCCACCGCCAAAATGTCGGTCAATGAATCATTACTTTTTAACTTGGCAACTTTTTTACAGTTGCTCCAAGTAATTGATATGGAAGGAATAGACGAAAAATTAAATGCTCTATACAGTCAAGTTGCTGTTAGCTGTGTGTCGTGGATGCTAAAGAAAGATGCCCAACTAGCAACAAAATTCATTTTCATGCCAATAATGAAACCTCTGTACAAAATGTCTCAACGAGATGAAGGTTTGTCTCAACAGTTTATAAAAAAAGTAGTATTTGTTTAGATTTTTTCGATGAAAGAAATATACTTTTTTGAGGGATAGTAGCTAGCAATTCATACATTACTGCTGATTCATGCCATATGCACTGACTTGTAAATGAAGCTTCTGACGCACCAAAGAAACACCACTGAATATAGAAGTGCAATACATATTCTTTCTCATATTTTTTTATCATTTATAGCAGTTATATTCTCTATGAAAGTCTTGACATGTCTCTATTGTTCATTTGTCTATATATTTTGTGATTAAGTTAATAAGTACATTGTCGTTTATGTAGAAATGTTACGGGAAGAGGTAGTTGTAAGTGAAAATGAGCTGACTGCGGCCATCAGAAAAATACACAAGGTAAACAATCATATTGTAACTAGTAGATTCTTTTTCAAAAAGGAGTTGATAAGTTACCTTTTCTAGAATTTATTGTTGAAATGCATGAATATGCTGCGTACATCCATTTTTACAATAATTTTTTTATTTTGTATTTGAAACGATGTCTGAATTCTTGAATATATACCTTTTTTAAAGAGGCATTATTTGCACATATATAAAGTACTTTTCTTAACTTTGCAAATTTTGTTAACCAATGGTATCCAATTTTCTAGAATTTGGCCTACAGTAAAGGGTCTGAGAAAGCCTTTCTAGAGATAGTTTCGAATGTGTCGCAGCCATTGTTTGAATTTTACTGCTTTCTCACAAACAGAATCTCTTATTTAAGGTAAGTGCACTTAAGATTCGCATAAACCGTATTTTCCTCACTATCTCCTGGTGTCATATAGAATATCGAATCTTTCAGCCTTTGCTCCAGTCAAGGGCTTTCTCTTGTAGAAAGAAAAAGTTGTGCAGAAATTCCATAGCGTTGTCTTGTCAACCAGCTTGGACTCGTCATCTAATACCGCTCAAATGATAATCGTCTTTTGTGAAAGAAATTGTCCTGTTTTTATGCTCATTTTTTATATAGATCACAACTTGAAGAAATTCTCATTTGGTTACTACGACACTCAGAAGCCATGGCTGCCAATGAAATGATCTTTCTTTTTCTTCTCGGGGAGATGTCTGCCCTTAAGCAGGAGAAAATAACTATGAACCCTGCATTAAAATTCAGCCTAGACTCGAGCGGGTGCCCCTGTGTCGTATCAACGCCGACCGCAAGTGCAAGCTATTTTGAGTTGGCAGACACTCGCACCACAGAGCAACGGATTGTTTCCCTTCTTGCACTTCTCAATTGCTTTAAGGATTCAACACTTGCAGGGAATTTGTTCGCCTTCTTGTTGGAAAAGCTCAGTTGTCTTTTGAGAAGAAAGGAATCCTCTATTGAAAATAATGGTATGTGATGAATATATCTTTTTAACATCAGTGATATTTACAGTACAAATTTACTGGAAACTTTAAATACAAAAAAACTTTCCAATATTACAAGGACGATACCACGGAATGCAATATGCCATGACTACCCCGTGGCATCACAAAATAGTTTAAGATTACATGAACTTAAAAACAGTTTACATATGAAATTTAAACCCAATTAACATTGATGGCGTACTTCGGTTAGTGGGGCAAGACACTGTCTTGAAAGCTTCCTGTACTGCGTCACTCAAGAATGTGCTTGTTCAGTTCGTTTGGAGAACTCGTGTCGCCGTACAGTAAAATTTGCAACAGTGCTTTATTTACAAGATTTGCATATCCCTAAGGTCGCAATAGATTGTAAATTCCAGCGAGGAGGTCAGTTCTTTGAACACCAAAAGAGGGCAAAGCAGCAAGAAGCGTATCCTCAATTCTGTCGTTGGTAGGGCACATGGGGTTTGTTGTATCTTTGAAGTTGTGTTGAAATTTGTGAAAATTCAGCTTGCTAAGGCCAACTCTCAGCTGTGTTAGATAAAAAAGGCCCTCGGGATCATGAAAAACCCAAATACAGATTTTTCAGGAAGGCGTATCATGGTTAGTACATTTTACTTAATTACCTCAGGTTTTCGAAGTGAATATTGGCACTGTTGAAGTTGTGGTATTGGATCTCTTGTGTAGTCCGTGGTTAAATTGTTTACGATTTTGTAAAATAGTTTACGATGTCTAAACCATCTTCGGAGGCTTAGAGATTCCCACCCGAGATGAAGGTACAGCTTATCTCGAGAAGTCACCTTCCAAGCTTCCGTTACAGCTAAGACAGCGGGATATTGACCAGCTTTTAGCTTCTCTATTAAACTTAAAGCGGTGATACTAGCAGTAAAATCACATGCTTTTGATGGATTATGGTAAAGTGGGGTCGGACATAGAGCTTGTATTGTTCATTTAGCTTATGCCTAGGTAGATATTTTGACAGGAATCTTAGCACACCATGCCTTGTCTTCTTTTTGAGATGGCAGATTTTATATAAGCAGAGAAAGATAAGGTCGCATTCACCATGATTCCAAGATGTTTATGTTTATCAGCTTTTATTACTTGTACGTTGAGGGTTGCCAGAAGCTACATTTTGGCTAATTCTTTGGAGTGAAAGTGTAATCAAAATTGGCTGTGACAAAAGCTCTCACTTGCTTTTAATTTCAATTTTCTGTTATCCTTTACTTTGTTTCTTGCTTCGTTATTTGCATTTGGAGATTACTTTAACACAATATTGAATATTTTCTGTGCAAAAATTGTCGTTTTCTTTGTATTTTTGTGGCTTTCAACATGCGGCCAAAATTCAGCCAACTTTTCCTTTTTCGTCAAAATCAATTTTCGACGGCCAACAGCTTTGGAAAATGGCCAGATTGGAGGAATTTGGCCGTCAAAATGAACGAATGGCAACCCTATGTACGTTGTCAAACATGTGTTAATGGGTGGTTAATATCAGATTTTCGTTTGAGAAAGTTAATTCAACTGGTTGTTTCTGTGGATCCGAACTGAATGACATCTTCCAATCATCAGCCCACCTTCTCAACAGGTCTAGATCGTGGTTCAGGTCATTGGAAGCTTTATTTTGGTCTTGATCTGTTGTGAACAGCGATGTATCATCTGCAAAGAGTTTTCCTTTCCAATTGTGCTGAATATTGATAGCTAAAGACCTTTCAGCTTGAAATATCGATTGGGTACATCATCCGAAGATCTATTTTCTTCTTTTCTTTCATCCCTGCTATTGATTTTCTTTTTTTCTTCTGTTTTGGTCTTCTCCTTTGACCATCTTCTGGTCTTTTATTTTATCCACTATTGTGTTCTTATCTTTTATCAACTATTTTGTTCTTTTCTTTTATCATTCTTATTGATTTCCCTTTTCCTCCTGTTTTGGTCTATTTCTTTAACCGTATTTTGGTCTTTTCTTTTATCCACTATTTTTGTTCTTCTCTTTTATCCACTATTTTGTTCTTTTCTTTTATCCTTGCTATTGATTTTCTCTTTCTCTCCTGTTTTGGTCTATTTCTTTAACCGTATTTTGGTCTGTTCTTTTATCCACTATTTTTGTTCTTCTCTTTTATCCACTATTTATTTCTTTTCTTCCATCCTTCCTATTGATTTTCTTTTTTTTCTTCTGTTTTGGTCTTCTTCTTTGACCATCTTCTGGTCTTTTCCTATATCCACTATTGTGTTCTTCTCTTTTATCAACTATTTTGTTCTTTTCTTTTATCCTTCCTATTGATTTTCTCTTTTTCTCCTGTTTTGGTATACTTCTTTAACCGTATTTTGGTCTTTTCTTTTATCCACTATTTTTGTTCTTCTCTTTTATCCACTATTATCTTCTTTTCTTTCATCCTTCCTATTGATTTTCTTTTTTCTTCTGTTTTGGTCTTCTCCTTTGACCATCTTCTGGTCTTTTCTTTTATTCACTATTGTGTTCTTCTCTTTTATCAACTATTTTGTTCTTTTCTTTTATCCTTCCTATTGATTTTCTTTTTTTTTCTGTTTTGGTCTTCTCCTTTGACCATCTTCTGGTCTTTTCTTTTATCCATTTATTTTGTTCTTCTCTTTTATCTACTATTTTCTTCTTTTCTTTCATCCTTCCTCTTGATTTTCTTTTTTTTCTGCTGTTTTGGTCTTCTCCTTTGACCATTTTCTGGTCTTTTCTTTTATCCACTATTGTGTTTTCTTTTATCACTATTTTGTTCTTTTCTTTTATCGTTCCTATTGATTTTCTCTTTTCTCCTGTTTTGGTTTATCCTTTACCATCTTCTGGTCTTTTCTTTTATCACTATTGTGCTTTCCTTCTCTTATCAACTATTTTGTTCTTTTCTTTTATCCTTCCTATTGATTTTCTCTTTTTCTCCTGTTTGGTCTTCTCCTTTGACCATCTTCTGGTCTTTTCTTTTATCCACTATTGTGTTCTTCTCTTTTATCAACTATTTTGTTCTTTTCTTTATCCTTCCTATTGATTTTCTTTTTTCTTCTGTTTGGTCTTCTCCTTGCATTCTTCTGGTCTTTCTTTTATCCACTATTTGTCTTCTTCTTTTATCAACTATTTTGTTCTTTTCTTTTATCCTTCCTATTGATTTTCTTTTTTCTTCTGTTTTGGTCTTCTCCTTTGACCATCTTCTGGTCTTTTCTTTTATCCACTATTGTTTCTTCTCTTTTATCACACTATTTGTTCTTTTCTTTATCCTTCCTATTGATTTTCTTTTTTCTTCTGTTTTGGTTTCTCCTTTGACATCTTCTGGTCTTTTTTTTATCCACTATTGTGTTCTCTCTTTTATCAACTATTTTGTTCTTTTCTTTTATCCTTCCTATTGATTTTCTTTTTTCTTCTGTTTGGTCTTCTCCTTTGACATCTTCTGGTCTTTTCTTTTATCCACTATTGTGTTCTTCCTTTTATCACTATTTTTTCTTTTCTTTATCCTTCTATTGAATTTTTTTTTCTTCTGTTTTGGTCTTCTCCTTTGACATCTTTCTGCTTTTTTTTTATCACTATTGTGTTCTTCTCTTTTATCAACTATTTTGTTCTTTTCTTTTATCGTCCTATTGATTTTCCTCTTTTTCTCCTGTTTTGGTCTTCTCCTTTGACCATCTTCTGGTCTTTTCTTTATCCACTATTGTGTTTCTTCTTTTATCAATCTATTTTCTTTTCTTTTATCCTTCCTATTGATTTTCTTTTTTCCTTCTGTGTTTGGTCTTCTCCTTTGACCATCTTCTGGTCTTTTCTTATTATCCACTATTGTGTTCTTCTCTTTTATCAACTATTTTGTTCTTTTCTTTTATCCTTCCTATTGATTTTCTTTTTTTCTGTTTTGGTCTTCTCCTTTGACCATCTTCTGGTCTTTTCTTTTATCCACTATTGTGTTCTTCTCTTTTATCAACTATTTTGTTCTTTTCTTTTTATCGTTCCTATTGATTTTCTTTTTTCTTTGTTTTGGTCTTCTCCTTTGACCATCTTCTGGTCTTTTCTTTTATCCACTATTGTGTTCTTCTCTTTTATCACTATTTGTTCTTTTCTTTTATCGTTCCTATTGATTTTCTTTTTTCTCCTGTTTTGGTAATCTTTAACGTAATTTGTTCTTTTCTTTATCCACTCTTTTGCCTTCTTTTTTACTTTTGGTCTTCGTTTCTTTCTTTCCTTAGTTCATTTGTGTTTTCTTTTATCCATTCTTTTGATTTCTACTTTTCTTCTGTTCTTTTGTCCTTCTTTGCGCCTCTGCTATCTTGGTCTCTTCCTTTTCTTCTCTTTTCTTCTTGATTGCATTTTGGTATTCTTTTGATCTGCTCCTTTGGTCTTCCACTTTATCGACTATGATTGTTTTCTGTTAAATTCTACAGTCTTATTTTTTTTACAATTTTTGAGGCATACAAACTACTTTTTTTCGAATAGCAATCACGTCAGTTCATTGTATTTTATTCCTGAAGAAACGTTTGCTGAACTTCTTTTTGTGCTGTCCTTTTTATGTTTTAATGTGTACGGAATAAAAAGGCGACGGAGTAGGTCTGTTTGCCACAAAAGTGGATAAATGGTAAGAAAAAGGAACACCGCATAGCCCCGAGAATAAGGGCAACGATATTACAAATTATATAAAATTGCATACTGACAGTTTGCCGCGTGTGGTCAGGGCTTCCTCGAAGTCTACGTTTTTATGTAAAAGGCTTTTCTCTAGAATATTATGAGTTTTTTTTTATCATGTTTCTTTTTGGCAAATGATATTCTTTTCGTCTAACTGTTTGCATGACGCTTTTTCTAATAATCCGATTGGAACGTAAAAAGTAATGGGCAAACATGTAATATATTTCCTGAGATTTTTTAGCTCTAAAATCAGGAACAGATTGGAACGATACAGAAGCTGGGCTTTAGCTATGTACTTCAATAGATAAACATTTTTTAATCAAACTCTTAGGTAACGAAATGTCTGAATGTTGATGGAAATTATTTCTGACCTGAAGTACCGGATTCCATTGGTGACAGCATGATCGCTTCTATTTGCGACAAATTTGGCGATAGTGTCTTGCAGAACCCTAAACATATCATGTCCTTCATCAAGAACATGTATGGGTGTTGCTATAGCGGCAGATTGTGCAGGTGATTTTGCAGAAATCGAACAAAACTGGGTTATAAACGAGACGTTAGAGATGGCCATTATGATTCTTTCGTTTATCGTGAACATCGCGAAAGAGGTAAGGTCATATCCACTTTTACACTTCAAATTGAATCAATCAATCAATATTTACTTTACACGAGATACCTTTCGGCAAAGAAAAATAACTATTTACAAAAAAAACTATTAAAAAAAAGAACTATTTGCATATTGCTGCTCTACCAAGGGGTCGTGTTTGGGTCCTTTTGAAGGTTCGAAAGATACTCTCTAAAACCTGTTTTAAAGAGCGATGGATTCTTTTTCTCGAATGTTGTTAGGGATATCATTCCAGTTTTTGACACCCAGAGAAATAGAAACCTCGCTTTGCATACTCTAACCTAACTTTGGGAATTTGCAGGTCTCTACGGTTTCTGGTTCTATACTCTGAAATCATGGATCTTTCAGTGAATTTATGCGAAGATTTTCTGGACAGAGGTCAGCAAATTCTATATGTCATGACTCCTTGGTCAAAGGAGATCAAGGACTTTACAGTGAGCCATTTGCATGCCCATCCGTCCTTATACTTGGAATTCGCTATTAGCCTTTTTTGCCCTTACCTGTAAACGTTGCAGTTGGATAGTTTGGTTTGGAGAGATCACTCCAAACAATGTTGCCATAGCGAAGATGGGCTTTCAAGAGAGTTTTGTAAACTTGATCAAGTTTCCTTTGCGGAAGGTGTTGTTCAACTTCTTAAGGAGCTCAAGCCCCCTTCAGCTTGTTTTTAATAGTTTTGTACGGTCTCTCAATTAAGGTTTTCATCGATGTCCATCCCCAGGTATTTTGCTTTGTCAACCCTTCTTGATAACTTCATTATCGAGGACAAAGGTTGGCAAATCATTACCTACTTTGTTTAGTTGTCGCCCATGGCCTATAACCATATACTCGTATTCATCTTTGCTGGTGTCACAAATTCCTTTCTGCATAAGATATTCTCTTTTGCTCCTGCGACCGTTTATTATGCTACAATTCTTCCATCAATTTTTCCATAAATTTCTTTCCATCAAAAATTGATTTCATTCTTTTTTGGCGTCTTCAGTAATTCAGCCCTATATCCCATGATAATCTTATAAGAATGAATTTCAAAGTTTGTGCAAAGTGAAAGGCTACAGATTCGATTCTCGTCGAAATCGATTCAAAATCATCGATAGAATAAAGTAAATGTCCCCTTCCTTATAAGTTTTAGGTACATTTAAATACGTACATTTTAAGCCTTCATTCCTGTGTAATTTTGTGTAATTTAAGGTTAATTGATATCTTCTGTATCAGAAAGGTGAAAAAGTTTTCAAGAACTTGAGGAGTTTGTTGATGTACTCTACGAGGTTGAAAAGTCGTCAGCAACTGAGCCATTGACAGATGGCCAACGGATTGCGTGTTTCTATTATGACGCGTGGTGCAGTTGACAGCAGGCATCATAACAGCATCATCAAGCAAATTGCAGCACGATGAAGTTGCCTCAGCATTCAGCATGTGGTGAGACGTTTTGCCTGTACCATTTTGACTTCTCAAAGTGATGTGATCTTTGTCTTTGTTTCAGTCAATTTAAAGCGTAATCAACCATGGGCCGAGCTCCATTCACTCCTGAATTCTTACATCCATTGTCTGCTAACAAAGAATAAGGCCTTCTTAAAAAGTTCAGTTTTAGACGGTGGGTATTCCTGCAAGGTGATCAAATGTAATATGTTTCTTGGCAAATAGAAGGTACTGTTTTTTTAATATGAATCACTTTCTAATGATATTTAAAACTTGTCTCCAACAGCAATATTAACTCAACATCGACTCTGTAAAGGCACATTGATCAAATGATAAATAGACTGGTAATCCCAAATTGCCAAAATCCGCCTGGTCTGATTTCATGACGGCGAAGCTATTCGGTTGACCTTGAACTGGTCACATAAACTTACCTTGTATGATTTAACATAACAGTTTTCCATCAATAGCAAGTTGTCAACTAACAATGCCAATATCACATGAATAGCGCAGAGCGATTACGCCGAAACCAAATGACCCAAACTATTGAGACAAGCTATTTTACCATGACTCATAGTGCTTTAACATATGT